TGTTGCTCTAGTCCTCACCGCTTCTGGTCATGCCGGTCAGGCAAAGATGAAGGCTTCCCCGGTCTCATGGTTGATTTCTAAATGCTTCAGAGCAGTTTTCGGGGAGTCAATGGAGCGGCAATTTGGTTCTCGTTGTGTGTGAGCACCAGTAACGACAGCACCATAGAAAGATTGTTTGGGTGGGCGCTCGTTATCCATACTGGCGAGGCAGTGGTCCCGCACGTGCGCCTCAACATGGCATGGAGGCTAAGAATTCCCGCCTGTATCCGAAATCGTGTACTGTCATCTTAGTTTTGCTATTCTCCGGACAAAAAGCAGGTGTATGCAGTTCGGATTCCTGACTTGGTTGTCATAGACGGTCTATGTCTCCGTCCCGCTGAGTAGGGTCGTCCAAACTACCGCGCTGTACACCGTGAATTTAGTGTTGAGTGAAAGTCTATGACGATTCTAGACTATGGCCCGTAGTCCGTTAAATGTTAGGTTGGCTTTTGAGCTCTGATGGAGGACTTCGTTTTTGATGCTGACATCTTGTGAGCATGTGTTTTCTAGGTATGCGATATTTTTCCGTAGTGGAGAGTCGAACTCTGTTGACGGTGATGTTGGAATCTCGTTACCCCGTGTCTGGTATCGAATTATGTATGGTCACCATCTTTTCGGTGTTGCTGGTCACTCCGAAGTCGATACAACCGGAGCAAAGTGGTCTTTAATCCTTTGCATGATGCTTTAGATTTGGTATTTAGTGCATAGTCATCCGCAAACAGTTAATGTGAATATTCTTCTGAGATTCTCCTATGCGTGCTTGCCTGCGCCGTGCGCTGAGCCGGTAGTCGATGCCGTTTCTCGGCCGTTCCTCACGGTATACGTCCATCAGCAAAGAGGATGACATTAGAATGAGGACGGGGGAAAGCAATTGCATAGCCCTCCCTCACTGTAATGGGCAATGAAAATGCACCCGGGACTACTTTATGTTCCGCGACTTGAGCTAACCTTCCGTCGTGGATTTGACATTCAATGTATGTGGCACGTTACGGACAGGCAAATTTCAACCCGATCCTTCAGGTTTCGTTGCAATCCATCTTATCAAAGTTCTCAGTCGAGTCTGCGAAGGTAGTGCACAGGCTTGTCCGCATTTCCTGACCCTTCTCTATCAGATGGCGGATGGCGCGGCGACGCCATTTGACATCGGCATTGGCTTCAGAGGAAAATTCTCTTTTTAAAATCGGTTTTTCAGGCAATTATTTCCCCTGCAATCTTGAGTTCAGAAATGCCTTGGTGATAGTCAAAGACTTGATAGCAGCCTTTGCGTTGTTGGATATGCACCATGGCGACCTGTTTAATGCACCGAGGGAGTAGTTCTTGCAGTCACCTCTTCTGGAATGTTCCCATTAGCCGAGAGCCACAGTATTTGTAGATTCCGTTCGGATTTGCGGTGGATCCCGATGCTTGTGTTTATTTCCGGGGGTGGAGGAGACGGATAATCCATTTCGGCCTGGACCCCACATCGAGAAAACGGTAGACGACGGCATCGCAAACTGTGGATGGGCGATTGAGAACGGTTCTGGGGTGCTCAGCCCAATTCTTCGGGATCCGGGATTATTCCGTTGGAACTAAGAAGCGGCGCCGTTTGCTTGGTGTGGTCACTGTAGATCACCCTGACGTAGGTGAAAAATCATCCTACCATTGCCCTTCACATGTCCTTGTATTTTCTCAGCCTCGTAATGCATATGTACTTACGTCGTGCATTTCACAAACTTGCTGTTGCGCCAGTGCGGAGAAAAGAAGGTTGT